GGATGAAGGGCCGACCCGCGGCAGGGCAGGACCACGTTGTGGTGTTGCAGGGCTGGAGTGTGCCATTGCACACCCAAAGCGGGGCGTTACGCACCCAAGACATGGCATGGCACACCCAAACCCAAGCCATGGCGTTGTACACCCAAAACACAGCATTGTGAACTCAAATTGTGGCATTGCACACCCAAAACATGGCACTGCACAGCCAAACCATGCAGTGCACTCCCAAACCCAAGCCATGGCGTTGCACACCCAAAACACGGCATTGTGGACTCAAATTGTGGCATTGCACACCCAAAACATGGCACTGCACAGCCAAACCATGGCGTTGCACATCCAAAACATGGCATTGTGGACTCAAATTGTGGTACTGCACACCCAAACCACAGCACTGCACACCTAAGACATGGCATTACACACCCAGACCCATGGCACTGCACACCTAAGCCATGGCATCGCACACACAAACCCAAGCCATGGCAGTGCATACCCAAAACATGGCATTGTGGACTCAAATTGTGGCATTGCACACCCAAACCACAGCATTGCACACCCAAACCATGGCATTGCACACCTAAGCCATGGCATTGCACACCCAAACTCAAGCCATGGCACTGCACACACAAAACATGGCATTGTGCACTCAAACTGTGGCATTGCACACCCAAACCGTGGCACTGCACACCCAAACCATGGCATTGCACACACAAGCCATGGCATTGCACACCCAGACCATGGCACTGCATGGCCAAACCATGGCATTACACACCCAAACCCAAGCCATGGCATGGCACACCCAAACCATGGTATTGCACACCCAAACCGTGGCATTGCACACCTAAACCATGGCACTGTACATCCAAACCATGGCATTGCACACCCAAACCCAAGCCATGGCATCGCACACACAAAACATGGCATTGCACACCCAAACTGTGGCACTGCACACCCAAACCATGGCATTGCACACACAAGCCATGGCATTGCAAACCCAAGCCATGGCATTGCACACCCAAACTGCAGCATTGCACACCAAGCCATGGCATTGCACACCCAAACCATAGCGTTACACACCCAAACCGTAGCGTTACACACCCAAACTGCAGCACTGCAGTACCCAAATCATGGCACTGTGTACCCAAATCACGGCACTGTGTGTCCAAGCCATGGCATTGCACACCCACGCGTTGGTGTTGCACAGGGGCCTGGGGGAGCACGCTGTGGCCTCTGTCACACTGGAGCCACAATGATTTTTCTGAGAAATGGCACAAAGCCCTCCCTTGCCCACTGCCCTGGCTGTCTGAGCCCCCCGAGGAGCGTCACGCTGTGAGGACGCCCGGGTCCCTTCAGGGGGACACTGGGCCGAGCGCCCGGGGGACCCCTGATAAAAGGGAGATAACCCATGCTGCTCCCCCACCGCCCCTGGACCAGCATCTTCCCCTTTGAAAAGGACAAATATAACCGAGATGAGTCAGTTCCTCCGAGCTCCCATCCCCTGTACAATATGTAACTGGAATTTTTCATTTCGGCACTGCAGGGGAGGCATAACTGGAGAAGACAATGGAGTCAGCTACGACCCAAAAAAGCAGTGCCAATTCTGTGTGCATGAGAAATAAAAACATTTTTTAATCTAAAAATAAATTAACTGTAAGTGACAGCAAGAGCAGATCTGCATGTACTCACTGTCAGCCCGCGCAGGACCAGCCCCTGCTCCTTGGCACAAGGCGGGTTTGGGTGAATTCCCTGCTTTTTCAGGCCAGGTTGGGACTCGCAGCAGCACTGTCAAGCTGGGGAGGAACTCAGCACCTGCACCAGGACACCAGGCTCCCTGAGTTGGCATCGGACCCAGAAAGAAATCCACAGAAGCCAGGGAAACCTCTGGGGTTTGTTTTCTAACTGCATTACGGCTGTGAGGAGGGAAAAGAGGCTCCACCGAGCTCGGGGCTTGGCTGGGCCAAGGCACTGCACAAACCCATAAAACCCATCCAGCTTCCCGTGATTAAATAAAAGGGTAGCGAATACGCAAGCGGCTGGTGGCCTCATCCTGCAGCTCAGCCTGTGGCCACCTTGGTGTGACAGAGCAGGGCAGATTATCTGGGGCAGCCCCTGCCCAAGCCCTCTCTTCTCCCCAGCTGCTTGCCCCTCTGCTTGCTCTTAACGTGTTGGGGAGGAGACACGGAGCGACCCAGTGCTCAGGTGTCACAGGAGATTGTCTGTGAGAGATCCTGCTACTCTTATTCACAGGCTCCAAGATTTGCTGGGACATGGCCAGGGTTGCTGCTGCAGCAGGAGCAAGATCACAGAACCACAGAATAGTTTGGGTGGGAAGGAACCTTAAAGATCATCTCCCTCCACCCCCTGCCCTGGGCAGGGACACCTCCCACCAGCCCAGGTTGCTCCAAGCCCCCTCCAACCTGGCCTTGAACCCCTCCAGGGATGGGGCAGCCACAGCTTCTCTGGGCAACCTGGGCCAGGCTCACACCACCCTCAGATGTTTCTCCACTTTTCTTTGCTCCTGTCACACACTGATCACCTTTGCTAAAAATTGTTTCCATGGGGCCACCTTTGGAGGTGGTGGGACACCCCTCTGGTGGGACACCCCTCCCTGCAAAGGGCTCAGAGCCTGAAGGACAGGGCAGAGAGGACGGGAGTTCCCCATGGACCAGAGAGATATTGGTGAAGCCGTGGCTCAAGCACATAACTCATACTTTGACAGCACGCTGCCCAGTTTACTGCACAACGACATCAAGCACTTCCCTGGCTGCTTCCTTCAGAAATTCCCCCTTTTCCAGCACCAGTGGTCCCTGTCCCCAGTGTGGTGGCAGCTCCCTCCATGTGCGTGGAAATCCAACAACTCCCAGCCAAACTGTGAGGACATGGAGAAGGCAGGTGAGGGGGTGTACCCTAAAACCAAACCCCATCAGGAAAATCCTCTCCTTTTTCTTAAGATATTGTCACCAGGGCTATTTAAAAGCCTTCTGCCTCCCATTTTTTGCCCCAGTCCACTCAGTTTTACAGCACTGCCTTCACTAAGTTGGGATTCTTTTTTTTTTTTTCCCTTCTGACTTGACTCCTCACTGGGTAACGCCGTATTTGATATTTTTAATCACTCAGCATGCATCAGGGTTTGGCAGCGGAAGAAAGTGAAGTTAAAAGAGAACAGAGATAGTCTGCATTTGCCAGGGCTGCCTGCCACGGCCACAGCCCCTCATCGCTTGTGCTGCGTTTCCCTCTGCTGGAAAGTCACGAGCCGCAGATGACAGGGCCAATTTCAAAAACACATCGTCAGCTGGCAATTCTTAACCTTCTGGGGTTTGGAGCGTTTCTTGCAAGAAAAACAACAGTCCTGAGCTCTTCTACCTTTACTGCAGGAATATAAAGACATTACACGTACAAACACATGGATGCATTTTTATTTGCATATCAATATTGTTGATAAACCCTTAGAATAAACCTGTATTTGGCTGTGAAAGGCCAGAAGATCCTGACCACCCCAGCACTATCATGCAAATTTTTAATTTCTTTGCTCAGCAGTTGCAGCTAAACTTCTCGTTTCCAGCGACAGCTGCAATTTTCACCCTCTTGTGGGTATCCCCAGGGATTCCTGGGGGGCTGAGTGGGCGGCACAGAGGGAGGGATGCTGTTCCTGGGCTTCTCATCCAAGCTGGCCAGAGCTCCTGGAGGAGCTGAGGCTCAGCAGAGTTCGTCTGCTTCATGTGCTGCTTCCTCCCTTCGACTGCCAGTCTGCCTCACCCCATTGATCCCCGAGTGGGCAGCACAGAGGGAGGGATGCTGTTCCTGGGCTTCTCATCCAAGCTGGCCAGAGCTCCTGGAGGAGCTGAGGCTCAGCAGAGTTCGTCTGCTTCATGTGCTGCTTCCTCCCTTCGACTGCCAGTCTGCCTCACCCCATTGATCCCTTGGAAAAAGAGAAAAAGGTCAATTAGCAGCACTTACTGAACTGTGGAGCCCCTTCATGCCCACAGCAAGTTGCCTGCCCGGGCGGGCATCAGTGGCTGGAACATGGGGGTTATTTACTGATTGTCTCCAGGTGGCCCCGAGATCATAGAATCATAGAATGGTTTGGGTTGGAAGGGACCTTAGAGATCATCCAGTTCCAACCCCCCTGCCCTGGGCAGGGACACCTCCCACCAGACCAGGTTGTTCAAAGCCCCCTCCAGCCTGGCCTTGAACCCCTCCAGGGATGGGGCAGCCACAGCTTCTCTGGGCACCCTGGGCCAGGCTCTCACCACCCTCACAGCAAAGAATTTCTTCCCAATATCTAATCTAAATCTCCCCTCTTCCAATTTAAAACCGTTCCCCCTTGTCCTGTCACTGCACTCCCTGACAAAGAGTCCCTCCCCAGCTCTCGTGGAGCTCCCTTCAGATATTGGGAGGCTGCTCTAAGGTCTCCCTGGAGCCTTCTCTTCTCCAGGCTGAACACCCCCAGCTCTCTCAGCCTGTCCTCACAGCAGAGGTGCTCCATCCCTCTGATCATCTCCATGACCCTCCGCTGGACCCGTTCCAACAGGTCCATGTCCTTCCTGTGCTGAGGCCTCCAGAGCTGGACACAGACTCCAGGTGGGGTCTCACCAGGGCAGAGCAAAGGGGCAGAATCACCTCCTCATGACCTGCTGGCCACACTTCTCTGCAGCGAGAAGGCTTTCAATCTGCCTCCAAAGATAAAAAAGGAGAGACGCTGCCTTTCATCTGTTTTCCTCTGCCGAGGGAAGGCGCAGAGGCCTGAGGCGGCTGAGAAGACCGAGATGGGACCTCACCAGGGCTGAGCAGTATCTAGAGGGGGATCGACAGGACGGGGGCTCTTCTCAGTGGGGCCCAGCGACAGGACAAGGGGAAACCGCCACGGGGGGAGCGGCGAGGGTGCGTGTAACGGGGCTGTAACGGGGGGTCCCCGGGCCCTGCTCCGCGAGGGGGAGGCGGAGGGAAGGGGCGGCAGCACCTCCCGCCCGCCGGGGGGCGCCCGAGCGCCGCGGCCTCTCTCCGGAAGGCGGACGTGCTCGCTCCCGGAAGCGGAAGCGCTCGGGGAGGACGATGGCGGCCGAGGTGTCGGCGCTGAGCGGCTGGGGGGCTCCGGAGCCCGATGATGGGGTAAAGGGGCGGCGGGGGCGGCGAAGGGGTACGGGGAGAGAAGGGAAGGGGGGGTTTCCCGACACTGTGCCGGTGGCTGAGTGTGGGTTGTTGCAGGGCTCGGGCTCGGAGGACGAGGCGCGGCCTAGCACGGCAGCGGCGGCGGCGGCAGCAGCGGCGGCGCAGAAGCGGGAGGAACGGCTGCGCAAATTCCGCGAGCTCCACCTGAAACGGGTACGTGGCGGCCGGGAGCGGGGCCGGAGCGGGGCCGAGGCCGGAGACGCTTCCGGTAATAGAGATAAACGGTGTGGAAGGGGTCACGGGGGTTACCCGGTGCAGACCGGCCGCCGCCCGGTGGTCCCGGCGGGGGGG